CTCACCTTTACAATATGATTCTGGGTTCCCAAAAAGGCAGACCCCCTCTTGTTCTCTATCTCCTCCTATTTATAAGGGACCATCCCCAAAAAACCTCAAAAAGTACAACATAAAGAATATCCAAAGGAATATTCTTCCCGCCTCTTCCTAAGTTTAGGTTACCGTTATTATCTTATCCCAGTTGCCCGCTTCTGGTATCTGCCTTTATCACAACAACCATTAGTCGTTGTGTCGTGGTCGACCCCGTCGTGGTTACCAAATTTGGACCTATACAAGTTAGTCCCTCCGCTTGTTGAGGTCGTAGCCCTGCACGTCCTCGATGAGCGGACACCATGCGTTCCCGTTGTGGGAGAATTTGGCTCTTAAATTACGCTGGGTTGACCAAGATCGAGAGAGCGACACATCCCGCGGACTCCTGATTGATGTGGTTATCGAGATGTGACGTTAGTCCTACATGCGTCATCATTACGCATCTTCCCGAGACAGCGTCTGAGTGCTTGTCGCTTTGGTTTTAGTGCCATTGGCAGTCTGCTGCTTCGATCCTCGCGCCATTTAACCCTATAAATAGATGAGGGTTTTGTTTTTTCAGAGGTTTTTCGCTATTTCCTTCCTTGTGTATACATCATTCTCCTTCGATCATCTTTCTCATTTCTTAGCTCTATTCCTCTGATTCTGCTTCCCGTCTTCCCGTTTAATCACTGTTTCCCCTTTCAGTTTTACCAGCACACCCTCTATTACCAAGATGTCTCGAACCTTCCGTGCATACGATGAAGTTTCCAATGTTACTCCGCTATCAGTGGCTCCTCCTTCTGGTGGCGAGGATATCGCTCCGAGGAGGGTGATAGTTTTCCTACCATAGAAGAGATACTCCCGGGAAGCCTATGTCCAGGAACGATTTTCATAAAGATCTGCTCCTTCTCCCGTTCCGGTGATCTCTAAAACTAGACCTTCTCGGATAAATGAACTCCAGTCTGCGTACCGTATTCCTCCTCACGTCGAGATGGTTCCGGCTGGGGGGGACATCGTGGAGGTCCATAGACCGGGATACTGTGCTTTTTATGTGTATCCTTTCGTGACTGGTCATACCCTCCCTCTTATTCTGCTGGCGGAGGAGTTCTGTCGGTTTTACGAGGTCTGCCCTGCACAGCTGTCTCTGTACTTGTATAAAATCTTTCTGATAATGACGAAGTATGCAGAGTTGGCTGGGTGTGAGGTTGGCATTCACCACCTTTTGCATTTATTTTCCCCGAGCATTCATAGGGGTACCATGATACATTTGCGGCATCGTGGGACCAGGGGGTTGGTGGTTGGAACGGATGACAGGGCGAGCCGGAAGTTTTGGCACAAGTATTTTTTCATCAAAACGGAGCACTTGGTGTCGGACCCTGCTGGATTTCCTGAGCAGTGGAATCATAAACATAGGTGCCGTTGCTGTAAGCTTGTTATCTACTTTCGTTCTTTCTATTTTTTATTCATCCATGATTTTTCCGTGCAGCTGAGAGGCATGCGCCCTTTCCTGTCGTCGGCATTGAGGATTGGGTAGCTCACGTGCTACCTTACATGGTGGGTATTCGAGACTAGGCCGCTTTTGTCAAACGCTTCGGACCGAAGGTTTCGGCTGGTAAGTGTTACTTTTACTCCGACCTTCGGCTGTTTGCTGTTGATTATTGACATGATCCTTTTGTGGTGACAAGAAGGCTCCAGTCCCGGCATTTCGCCAGGCCATTGCATCAGCGAGGATGCAATTTACCATAGCCGAGTCCGCCTGCAGAGGTCGTACCCAGACTTCGCCTATAAGGGACCCTTCTCGGGAAGTTGCTGTACGGGGCGAGATCTCTTCCCGTCCCACTTACCACCTCGTAGACGAAATCTTCCAACGGGGATGAATCTCCATCGAGAAAAAGGAGTAGGGTGGAGCTTGGGAAGGTCGTCGCCACCGATCTTGGAAAGAGAAAAGTGGTTGCTTTAAGAGTGGCGTCTTCGCCTAGGTCAGGAATGGGGTCCGTTCTTATGGCGGACGCCATTTTAGCGCGGAGGTCCCCTAGGGCCAAAGAGGTATGTTAAGGCGGGGGACCTGTACGATCTGCTGAAGGCGGCGCGTCGTCTGCTGCCGGAGGAGATGGAGCGGCGCATGCGGAGGATGATGGTTCAGGCTCGGACATCGATCCGAGATGTGCGAGCTTTCTTGGAGCGACATACCCGCATGGAAGTGAGGATGGAGGGCCCTAACCGACACGTAATCATTCCTGCGGATTACGATCTTTTGGCGAACTCCGAGCAGGTAGTGTCGGCATTTGCCTCTTTGTGTGTTGCTTCCGAGAACACGGCGCTTCAGGCGGTGAGTGATGCGGAATTATCGCAGAGTATTTTTCGGCATGGCTTTGTGGGTATGTGTTTTTACTCTTCCCCTCTTTTGGATTTGTTTTGTATGTGTAATCTGTCTAAGTTGACTTTCTTTCCTCTGCATATCAGACTCTCATCATGGAGATTGAGCGAGATTGGAGGGATGAACGGAGGATGGTCGTGTTTGGGAAGCTGGCCTCTAAATACAAGGAGTATCGCACCAAGCACCGTGCATTGGCCAACGTCTTTACTCAAGATAGCAATTTTCAGTTGTTTCGTGATGGGCTTAAGCAAAAAGAGGAAGAGTTGGCGCAGAAGGTTGAGGAGCTGTAAGAGCGGGACGACGAACTGATGAGGGCCATTGGCCGATGTAGCGAGCTTGAGGCGGCCCTTAAGGCCAAGGATGATGAGCTTGAAGTGAGCAAGGGTATAACGGCCGAGAACGCTGACCTTTAGGCACGAGTGGCCGCCTTAACTACCGAACATGGGCGAGGAGAGGCGGAGGCCGTCGACTTGAGGGGTGAATTGAGCGCCAAAGCTGATGACTTGGCTCGTGCTGAAAAGGGTAAGGTGACTGCCATATCTGAAATAGCGGCCTAGAGGACGCCCTCCGTGCTTGTAGGTCCGAGCAGGACAATGAGGTGGAAACGTCAGCGATTAAGGTGGCGAGATAAAGAAATGGATTCAATATCTGGAGGCGAAGTTGTCCGCGTCGAACGATCAGGTTATTGCTTTGAAGGCAGAGGAAGTGCGACGGCAGTCGCAACCCTCCGCGTCTCACATCTCAGCTGATCCTGTCGTGCCACGGAGTTGTATGAGATGTGGGTCATTGTCGAGGCTTAGCTAGACATATACAAGTCCCTACAGGCTAACAGGAAGGTTTCCGAGGTAGAACTCGAGGGCGTACGTGTTAAAGCACGCGCAGCTCGTAAGGCCTGCGGCTATGATCCCGGTACTCCTGGCGGAGATGATGTTGATGATGATGATGCGGACAGGCTCGCTTCCGATTCTTGGTATAACGAGGAGTATGCTGTGGGAGACGACGCGGCGTAGGACTGTTGTACTTATTTTGCTATTTTTGTGAGGGCGTCTCCGAGCCCTTTGTACAAAACTTTTGTAATATAACAGTTGCAATGGCATGACTATCCTTTTGTTGTTTACCTTCGCATTGTTATTTTTGTTTGTTGTGAAGGGGTCTCCAGCTCTTCTGCCTCTCGTGTATTGTTTTGGCGTGGTTGACTATAGATCTTAGTAACTTGAGCAGAGTTGAATTGAAATGATTCGGGCGAGGTCGAATGTTAAGTAGTTCGAGCGAGGTCGAATGTTAAAAGAGATTCGAGTGAGGCCGAATGTTAAAGTAATTCGAGCGATGTAAAATTTCTTCTTTTGGCGATGGCCCTTGGCCGTAGGGGTGTTATTTCAAGTTAAGATCGAAATGTTAACCCATTGAAATTCGAGCGAGGTCGAATTGTTAAATGATGGAGAATAAAATGTTGCTTTACTCATTGGAGAATATCTTGGTGGAGAGTACAAAATGTTGCTTTATTTCATTCACTGGAGAATACTATACATGTTCGTTTCATACACATATTGGAGAAGTTTCCATATATCTAGTCCCTCCATCGTTCAGCTTGGAGAGACAATCGGCAGGCGGGGCGATGAATTATACTTTGAACTTCGAGATAAAAACCTACAACCCAATTGGTACAAAACCCTGGCGAGGGAAAAAAGAGTAGGATTTTGGGGGCGTCCTTTTACAAAAGTTGAAGCATTTGAGGTGAGCGATGTTCCAATTGTTTGGCAGTAGTTTTCCTTCCATTGTTTCTAGTTGGAACGTTCCTTTGCTTGCTGCCGCAATGATTTTGTATGGCCCGTCCCAATTGGTTCCTAATTTTCTTCCTTCGGATCTTTGCTTGCCAGTATTTTGGCTTTGAGAACATAGTCTCCTACTTTGAGTGGTCGTACTTTGACCTTTTTGTTGTAGTACCTTTCTGCCAGTTGTTTTTGGGCTACAATTCTTATGTAAGCCATGTCTCTTCGTTCTTCTGCTTCGATGAGATCTTGTTTTCTGTTCTCGTCGTTGTCCCGTCCACTTTCATTGGAGTACCTTAGGCTGGATTCTCCGACCTCAACACGTATCATGGCGTCGGTCCCGTAGACTAGTGAATATGGCGTTTCGCCTGTGCTCGTTTTTGGCGTAGTGCGGCAGGCCCATAATACTTCTGGTAACAACTCCGGCCACAAACCTTTAGCGTCCTCGAGCTTTTTCTTTAAAATGTTCAGTATTTCCCTGTTAGAGGATTCGGCCTGACCGTTGCCTGCGGGATGACATGGCATGGAGAGTATTCTCTTGATGTGCCATTTCTCGAAGAATGCGGTGGTCTTTCTCCCGGTGAATTGGGGCCCATTGTCGCAACTGATTTCTTTAGGGATGCCGAAACGGCATATGATATTCTCCTATATGAATGCGATGACTTCCTGTTCGCGTATTTGGGTGAACGCACCTGCTTCTACCCATTTGGAAAAGTAGTTAGTTAAAACTAAAAGGAAACATACCTTACCTCGCCCTGCAGGGAGGGGTCCGACGATATCCATCCCCTACTTGATGAACGGCCACAGCGAAGTAACAGAGTGGAGGTGCTCGCCCGCTTGATGTATCATAGGTGCATATTTTTGACACTGTTCACATCTTTTGACATAATCTGTGGCTTCCTTTTCATGGTGGGCCAGTAGTATCCTGCCCGAATAAGGCATTTGACGAGAGCTCTGTTGCCTGTACGGGCACCGCAATGACCTTCGTGTACTTCTTCGAGCACGCGCCTTGTCTGACTTGGCCCTAGGCATTTAGCCAAGGGGCCGCCGAACGTTCTCTTGTAAAGGTCATGATTTATGAGGCTGTACCTGGCCGCCTGCATTCGAAGCTTTTTGGCTTCCTTTTTGTCTTATGGGAGTGTTCCCTCCTACAAATATGTCATGATGCGGTTGCGCCAGTCCCAAGTCAAATTTATAGAATGTACCTCAATTCGGTCTATTGACGAGTGGAGGAGGGTGACCACATTCTCCTTGGTGATATTTTTGGTTGTCGCTGCCAATTTGGCGAGGCCATCTGCTTCAATATTTTGCGCCTGGGGTATCTGGTTGAGTCGGCATTCATCAAATTCTAGTAGTTTATGGATTTCTGCCTGATATTTCTGCAGCCTTTGCTCCTTGATTTGGAAAGTCCCAGTGACTTGGTTAACAACAAGTTGTGAGTCGCATCTGAGGACGACTCTTCGTGCTCCATATTTTAGGGCTAGCTCTAATCCTGCAATCACGGCCTCATACTCGGCCTCATTGTTAGTCATTGCGGGGCACCGTATAGATTGGCGAATCACTTCGCCTGTTGGGACTTCAAGTACGAGTCCCAGTCCAAATCCCGATGCATTAGATGCGCCATCGGTGTAAAGGACCCAGAGGTCGGGCTGTCCAGGAGAGGTGCGAAGCGTTTCCTGCTTGACCTCAGACAATATTTCGGCACTGAAGTCGGCAACGAAGTCGGCGAGTACCTGTGATTTTATCGTTGTTCGCAGCTGATATGCTATATCGTGCTCGCTTAATTCTATGGCCCACTTGGCCAATCTTCCCGATAAGTCGGGTATATGCAGGATGCTCCTTAGGGGGAAAGTTGTCACCACCGCTATGGCGTGATGTTGAAAATACGGTCTGAGCTTTCGTGAAGCTACGACCAGTGCCAGAGCCAATTTCTCGAGGTGGGGATACCTCGTTTCGGCATCGACCAGGTTTTTGCTGATATAATAAATCGGAGTTTGCGTACCTTTATTTTCGAGGACCAAAACTGCGCTTACCGCGACTTCTGAGACTGCTAGGTAGACTAGGAGGCGTTCGCCGGGTTCTTCTTTGGCGAGCAGTGGTGGCGAGGAAAAGTATGCCTTTAGTTTTCTCAGGGCCTCGATGCAGTCTGAATTCCATTGGAGCCCATTGTCTTTTTTCAGCACATTGAAAAACTTATGGCATATGTCGGATGACCGTGAGATGAACCTTGACAGGGCAGCTATCCAACCAGTCAGCTTTTGTACCTGTTTTTTGCTGGTTAATATTTTGTGTATTCGATGGCCTTCATCTGGTCTGAATTGACTTCGATGCCTCTTTGTGATACCAAGAAACCGAGGAATTTGCCCGAGGTCACGCCGAAGGCGCATTTTTCTGGGTTTAGCTTCATTCCGTACCGTCTTAATATATCGAAGGCCTCTGTAAGGTGGTCGATGTGGTCCTCTTTCCTTTTGGATTTGACCAACATATCATCGATGTAAACTTCCATTGTTTTGCCGAGTTGGTCTTTAAACATTTTAGTGACCAACCTTTGATACGTGGCCCCTGCGTTATTTAACCCAAATGGCACAACCTTGTAACAGTACGTTCCCGGATGGGTGATGAAAGTAGTTTTCTCCTGGTCTTCCTCCTCCATGAGGACTTGGTTGTAACCCGAGTAGGCATCCAAAAAGCTCAACAATTCATGTCCTGCTATTGCATCGATGAGTTGGTAGATATGAGGCAGGGGAAAAGAGTCTTTCGGGCATGCTTTGTTTAGATCTGTGAAATCTAAGCACATCCGCCATTTCCCATTTTTCTTCTTTACCATGACCACATTTGCGACCCATTGGGGATATTTTGATTCTCGGATAGAACCATTGGCGAGCAACTTATCAACTTCATCGCTGACGGCCTTATTAATTGCGGCATTGAATTTTGTCCTTATTTGTCGCACTGGTGGATAGAGCGGGTCGACATTCAACTTGTGTGTAGCGATGTCTTTCGGGATGCCTAGCATATCATAGTGGGAGAAGGAAAACAAATCAGCATTGTTAGCTAAGAATTTATGAAATATACCTGGCTCTGTGAGATTGTGCCCGATATAAGCCTTTTTTGTGCTGTCGCTGCTGTTTAGTTGGACGGGATCGAGATCTTCTACTGTTGACTCAACGGCTTCCACGATGTCGGGATCCTTGATAACGTCTATCTGTGCGTTGGATTTGGTTCCCGACATCGCTAATTGATATGCCTCTACGCTTGTTCCCTTTAGTTGTTGGGTGTGTATGCAATCTTGGGCGATACGATAGCATTCTTGAGCAATGTGCTGTTCGCCTCGGATGTTGAATACTCCCCATAGGGTAGGGAACTTGATTACTTGATATAGGCCTGACGGGATGGCCCTCATGGCATGTATCCATGGCCGTCCTATGATGGCGTTGTAGGCTGTATCTTGGTTCATGATATAAAACGTTGTTTCTAGGGTGACTCCACCGGCCAAAACGGGTAGCGTTATTTCTCCAGAAGTTCGCTCAACTGCATTATTAAAACCTGTTAGTGTTATGCAACGCGGTATTATCTTGTCCTCGAGTCGTATATGCACGAGGACTCGAGGATGGGTAATACACGCGCCGCTTCAATCATCTACCATTATTCTTTTCACATCAGTATCTGAAATACGTAAAGTAATGACAAGAGCATCGTAATGAGGGAAAGTCAAACTGCCGGTATCTGACTTATCGAAGATGATACTGTCTTCGAGGTCATCATACCGTTCGTGGGTAATCGACCGCTTGAGTTTGTGTGTAGTGGTGAATTTAACATGGTTGATCGCTGCTTCGTCGCCTTCGCTCACGATCACTTGGACAGTACGAGCAGGGGAGGGTAGCTTTGGAGGCCCCTGGTGCTGTTCCCGTCCGCGACCGAACCCGGTAGCTCATTAATTCTCTCAGGTGCCCTTGGTTCAGCATTCTCACTACCTCTTGCCGCAGACCTATGCAGTCCTCAGTTTTGTGGCCCCGCTCCTGGTGGAATTTACAAAGGGTGTCTGACTTCCGAGTATTCGGGTCGGACTTCATCTTTTGTGGCCATTTCACCTTCTTGCCGAGCTTCTCTAGTGCATACACTATTTCTGAAGGGGAGACACAAAAATTGTGAGCAGATAAGAGCGGGGGCATACCTCTTTCGCTTTGCTGAGTCCCGATGTGAGGTCTGGGAGGCCCTTCTAGGTGTCGAGGAGGTGGTGGGGCAGCTGTTCGGATGTAGGGTTGATGTCTTTCTCGACCGAGACGGGGACCCAGCCGATCCCTTCGGCCGTCGTTACGATGATCTTTCCTCGATTCATCTTGAACTGACGTCAGCCGTTGGGTCAGACCGTTGAGATCATCCTCGTCGGCTCTCACCTTGGCGCAATAGGCATTGTGAATTTCTTCCCAAGTGGTGGGGGTATTTCATGAGCCTGTTTACGTTTTCTGGTTGCTCTCGTCCCGTTCCTGCTCAACCCGTTCTGGAAGGCTGCTACCGCTATCCCCTCTGATACATTTGGCAGGCTCATCCTCACCCTGTTAAAATGGGTGAGGAAGTCCCTGAGTTCTTCGCTAGGCGATTGCCTAACGGCGAATATGTCGTTCACCTTGGCTTCCGCCTTTTTAGATCCTGCATGAGCGGTGACAAACTTGTCGGCCATTTCCTCGAACGTTGCTATTGATCGTGCCGCCATTTATGAGTACCAGGTTAGGGTTCCCCATGTTAGGGTTTTGCCGAACTTTTTCAGTAGCACCGATGGAACTTGCTCCTTCGAAAGATCGTTACCCTTCACTGCCGTGGCGTATGGATGATATGATCTTCTGGGTCTATAGTGCCATCGTATATTTTCAGGTACGATGGCATTTTGAAGGTTTTGGGAATGGCATGGGGAGCTGCTTCCTCGTTGTACGGTTGCTCGACGAATCGACCAACGTCTCGTTTCAGTAGCAACTTTGGGGCACCTGGTATCTTATCGACCCTTTCTTGGTGCTCCTTCATCTGGTCACGGAGTGTCTTATTTTTGTTTTCCATATCTTCCATTTTCTTTTGAATGGCTGTGAGTGCGTCATTACCTGCATCAGCAGTGGTGTAAGTGTTACCTATTTGGGGGACGGACTGCTCGCCAGTTGTTGTTGTGATATCTGCTTGTGCGGTGTTTCTATTCTCCCTTTGGACGGGTCTGTCGATTATGTTGTTTAGAGTACTTATTAGCCACTCTTCCAGTAGCTTTTTCACTGCCGGTGGTGCTTCTTCAGTTACTAACGTGGAGGCTCCTTTTTCACGTGAAGCTATTACGCTTTCACGAGGGGGAGGTGAGACGCTCCGCCTGGGCATAGCGTTTGGTGTCGCGTTCTCGTTGTCTTCTCTGCCATCTTCGTTGATGGTGTTCAAGATGTTGGTGGTGACACCTACTATCATTTTCAACCTTGCGTATTCTTTTCTTTCCATTGTTAGTTTGTACAAACAAGGAAGAGATTTTTTATGATCTAGAAAGAACTATAGTTTCAACTAAAAGCTTCCCACAGACGGCGCCAAATTGTTTGAGCAAATAATTGCTAAACTAATTAATAACAAAATAATGGGGTGAATCTCAGTTGAGCTTAATAAATCCTAGATCAAATAGAGCGAGATTTTTGTTCAGTGAGGAGAGTTTAAGAGCATTAATTAATGGGTTCGATATACTAAGAATGATGGAATATGTAATATGATAAATGTGCTATAAATGCAAGAGGTGATAATGATTATAGCGTAAAGGAACTTTCACCCAATGATTGTATGATTGGGTGTCTCCTCTTTCTAACGATGTGAAAAGATATGCAGTGGGTATAAATGCGGAATCTTTGAGATTTATGGATGAAAGTTGAATAACATGTGCTTGAATAAAGTGAACAGGACAACTCTTTCGTATATTCTTCTCTCAGCTTTACAATATGATTCTAGGTTCCCAAAAAGGCAGACCCCTTCTTGTTCTCTATCTCCTCCTATTTATAAGGGACCTTCCCCAAGAAACCCTAAAAAGTACAACATAAAGAATATCCTAAGAAATATTCTTCCTGCATCTTCCTAAGTTTAGGTTACCGTTATTATCTTATCCCAGCTGCCCGCTTCTGGTCGTCTGCCTTTATCACAACGACCGTCAGTCGCTGTGTCGTGGTCGACCCCGTCGTGGTTACTAAATTTGGACCTATACAACAAATAAGCGAAGTCTCTTTTAAACTATTTTAATTTAATAAATTGATTTGATAACTAATCATGATTAGGTAAGAAAAATAAGATTAAAAATCAGACTTACCAAGCATTAGTGTATGCCTTGAGTCTTGATTGAAGAATACTATTCCTCGATCAATTAATCATATTCAACAATCTGCACAAGGGGGAGAGCTTTTTAACGGCAAACAGGCTGAAATTATGTTATTCCTAAGTCCTATCACTATAATGGTCGGGGTATCTTTGTTAGTTGATTTCTAATTTCAAAGGGGAGTTAATATGGGAAGTGCAATGGTAACAGGTTGACGTGTGTATACGGTTAAAACCGGGACCACCCGATTTCACTAATTGACCGAGACCAGGAGGATGAATCAAGGATCGGCCCCGTAGTATATCAAACCGAGGTATGAGGCCGAGTTCGGGATTCGAAGTACTTGTCAAGGTCGAAATCGATGATGATCGAGGCCAAATTGGATAAGTATCGAGCAAGACCGAAGATAGCATAATAACTGAAAGGCGAGATATCCGTTACTGGTCGAGGATAATGGCAGAAATCTCAGAACAGATCAAATCAAGGGAGGTTGTTTAGCTAATCATGGGATTTCCTTCTGTAATTAGAATTGTACCATAGATAGGATTCTTCTACTATATAAAGAGGGTTCTAATCATTTTGTAACCATCTTACATTCACATATATCAAAGCAATACAATAATCTTTTCTCTCATACTCTCATGTTCATCAGCTTGCCTTATATTTACTTGCTTTAGTATCAATCAGCTCGAGGGCATTCTAACTCGAGGGTTGAATTCCGTCTCAACACTGGTATATTTTACTTTGTTGTTAATTTCTATCACTAATTTTTACATTTATCAATTGGTATTAGGTGAAATCACGTGTCCTTAAAATCACATTATAAGTTTAATTGATATCCAATTTTAAGGGTAAACAGTTTGGCGCCCACCGTAGGGCTAAGGATAATAGTGATTGCCTGGTATTAATTCTCATAACGCACACTGCTTTACGCTTGTTCTTGTAAGTGTCTTTGATTTCAGGATTAACATGTCAAACTCTCAAATAGCACCCACACATACAGACAATGGCCTTGGCTTCCCTAGCGACAACGACAACATGGCCGCTCCAGGAAAAGGAGTGCCTCCAGTCAACCCCGATGGACCCCTAGCCGTGGACCTAATCGACGTCAGCTCCCATATTGCCATTAACAGGAATTTGGGCGTCGACCCTGAAAATAGCATCCACAGAGATGCTCGAGCAGCCGATCAGAACGCACATAGCAGTGAAGAAGGCGGAAGTAGCCTTCGAATGATATTCGAGATGTTGCAGACTCAACAAGCCGCGATAGCACAACTCCAAAACTAGAATCGAACACCAAGAAAAATTGAGCTCGAACCATCACAAGAAGTTTTTCATAGAGCCGAACCCGTACCGGAGAGATCGAACGCCAATGAATCGGGGATTGACCCCGCCATGATGAAAATGCTCGAGGAGCTCACTAAGAGGATTGAATCGGGTGAAAACAAAATCGAGGCAAATGACAAAAAGGTAGAAACGTACAACTCATGGGTTGACCAAATACCGGGGGCACCACCGATTCTAAAGGGTTTGGATTCGAAGAAGTTCATACAGAAGCCTTTCCATCCAAGTGCGGCTCCGAAGCCCATCCCAAAAAAATTCCGCATGCCTGAAATTCCCAAATATAATGGAACCATCGACCCTAATGAGCACGTCACTTCTTATACATGCGCAATAAAGGGGAATGACTTAGAAGACGATGAGATTGAATCTGTTCTGCTGAAAAAGTTTGGAGAAATTTTATCGAAATGGGCGATGATATGGTACCACAATTTGCCGCCCAATTCCATCGATTCCTTCGTCATGCATGTAGATTCCTTCGTGAAGGCACACGCCGGAGTAATAAAGGTTGCGACTTGGAAGTCTGACCTCTTCAAAGTGAAACAAAAGGACAACGAAATGTTGAGGGCATT